TTGTCCTTGTCTTCTTCTTCTTCTTCTTCTTTGTCTGCTTCTGCCTTCTTCTCATTATCACTCCTCTTGATCCTCTTCATCTAAATATTTCTCTTTCTCTTGCAAGTCAACAAGTATTACATTCAGTTATTAGGATTAAGGTGTAGATTTGGAATTAACAATTAAATATACTCAAGATGATTTCTTTCCTTGCTTTGTTTGTTTTGAAATTTATTATTATATTTCATAAGATTCTCACGTGCACCAATTGGAAAAATTAGTTATTATTGACTGAAATAGATGCAGTGCTAGTGATTTTTTTTTAGAACATTGAGGCTATGATAGCATTTTCCTCTTCCTCATCTTTCTACTTTCATCTTTTCTTCTCTCTTATTATCCTCCTGTGAAATATTAAGTGTTGAAACAACAAAATAGGCTGTTTCAATCTTGCTCACTTTATTTTATTTTGCACTATATTAAGTGGAAGCTTAATTTATTCAAACTTCTTTATTTTTGTCTCTTTTTTGTTCCAGAACGGCAAAAGAGACAAGGCTAACATTATTTTCAACACCTCCTTAGGAGTGATCTTTGGTGTGAAGAAATATGCTGAAGTTCTGTGGGAGGTAAATAGGTTGTGCATGGTTTTATTTTTTGTAAGCTCTCATATTTTTCCTTAACATTTGAAGTACTTCTGAATATGTGGCTGTAATGCCTTTCAATTTTTTTCATGTGTCTTATCGTATTTATCTTCTTAAAAGGTAACTTCTCATCAGGAAATTGAAAAGACATAGTTATCTTTTTTTTCTTTTAGGTGTTTATATTTAGTCTTTTTTATCTAGTTTTTCATTAGATGGCAGTATTCATGATTGAGATTTTTATACCATTAGATTTTGTACTTCATTAAGGAGATAGAAATATAAAATTCATGCCTTATGATTTACTTACCATCACTTTTTTTTTCTTCTTTTTTTTTCTTTTCTTTTTTGACTTTTTGATGGTAATGTTGTGTGTATGTGTTATCTGTATTTCTTTTTTGAGTCAATAGTATATGAGATGCACAGATCCAGCGTGTGTTTTAATCCAATTTCAATTTATGATAAGGATAAAACACAAGTACTTCTTTTCTTTAGTATCAATATCCAACTACTCCTTTATTAGACAATGCTATGAATTCTATTTGGAAGAAACCATTTGGCAGTTTTTGCATTTCATTTGTTTTCACCTTCATGGCAATTCTCTTTTAATGCAAAAGTTTCCATTTTGTACTGTCTACAAAATGTGTTCATATAGACACAGTTGCATGTTACAATATTCTTATCAGCAGACACAGTTTTGGAATATAGTAATGCTACTTTCTTTTCCAGGTTGTGAAAGAGAGAAACCTGACAGTAAACCTTCGTCACAATTTGATCGAAGTCAAACCTGACTCAAGGGAAGCCGTCTTCCAGAATCTTGACAATCCTGAAGAATTTAAGACTTTTGAGGTAGATATGTAGTGATTTGTGTTTTTTATATGTAATCTAACATTTCAAAGGATCTTTTTTTAGTTGTTTGTTAGAGAAATTCACTTGCTTTTATGGTTAACAGATTATGTATTTTTTCTCAATCATTCAAAACCAAATGTATGGATTGGTACATATGATAAAGCAAGACATCTTTTTCTGCTTTCTCTCTTTCATATGTATGGAAAATTTTGAATGAAAATCAATAGCCATAATAAACATGAGGAAAAAGAATGCATAGACTGGCTATACTGAATTAAGTAAGCTCTTCATTTTAATGAAATCAGCTTTTGTTGAATGATCCATACATGGTCTAAAGATCGTGCAATAACATTGTCATGATCATTTACATTATTGTAATTGTAACTAATTTCTTATACTCCTTTACCTTCCAGTATGAAATGCTTCATGTAACACCCCCAATGAGCACCCCGGATGTGTTGAACCAATGTGCTCCATTAGTGGATGGAGCCGGGTACCTCAATGTCAAAAAGGAAACTATGCAGCATGTCGATTTCCCCAATGTGTTTGGCATTGGCGATTGCACTAATCTTCCAACGTCTAAAACCGCAGCTGCTGTTGGTATGTGTTTTGGAGGTTTAGTTGTAATAGATGCACAGTTTATAAATTATCTGCATGGTGTAGTTTGTTATGAGAAGGTTTTTGTGCTTCAAAAATAGCATAGAGATAGGATTTTACTTATTAGTTTGTCTGTTTCTTTTTATGATAAACAAAGTAAGGAAATATAAGATGTTTTTCTGTAGTGGCTTAATAAGCTACAGGAAGCCAAAATGATATTCCAATACTATTAGCTCATTTTTTTCATGTAACCCATGCTATAAGATTTGTACCAAGGCTTAGTACTTAACAAAGATAAATATACTGAAAATGATACGATGACTAACACCCCTTTTTACCCCTTTACACAGCTGGACAAATTGGAGTTTTACGTAAAAATTTGAGTGCAGTCATGGCCGGGAAAAATCCAAACTCTCACTACGATGGCTACACCTCATGCC